ATTTTTTTTTTGCTCTAGGTGCTGTTCGGAGAATGTTATGATGTACGCAGATTCGCTCCTCGGAAAAAACACATGTTCCGTTTACCACTTGCCAAGACGCCATTTTGTATCAAAAGTTATAATAAAAATTTTTTTTATACCTCAAAACATGTATAATAAAGCCTCAAATTTCATTTTCCATGATCCATTGAATAGTTTCCAAGAAAAAAATTCCCAAAAAAACGTTCATTTTTCAGTGCGCCTGGGTAGTATAACCCCTTAAAATAAAATCGAAAAAACCGTGAATTATCGAAATAACGACGAAATTTAAATTTGATCGTACACGTAATCGTCCATGGCGGAAAACGCGTCGAGAGTAGACGGTCGAAGGTGTGTCGGGTCAAGTATGCATTTATTCTGACGCTCACAGCCGGATCCGTCTTTGACACTTGTCAAGGATCGAAATTTGTCAGCTTCATTTGTACCTGGACCACCTGGACCGTGCCACGTTCGAATCGGCACAAACACGCAACAGATTACACACATCGCTGACCGAGCGGATTAATCCGGCTGCATCCGGTACAGATGAGGCAGCTGTGTCACGTTTGCAGTTGCGCGAATCAAGCCGGAACGCTCGCGTAATTGTCGCTCGGACAATAGCGGGGTGTTCGGCGAAGACAATGGTAACCGCGACGCTAGGAATCGGATGCACTCGGGATAGTAATGCTAGGAACAATATTGAATGAGTTGTATAGGAAAGTTTAAACAAATAAGTGTTGTGTAGTATATCGATCGATTAGATTTATATTGAGAGCTTTCCATTTAGTGCAGACCCAACCCAAGGAATTTTTTTATATCAAAATGATAATTTTTGGTTACAAAATTTGACTGTATTAACTTTAAGTATCAAAATAAAGTCATTTAAATTTTTTATTGATTTTTATGTGTTCCTTGGAAAGTCGATACAAGCATCATTCTATCTTTTTTGTCATTTAGAGAGTAACAAAGCTAGAACGACATTTGTGTTGACTTGTGTCATCAAATAAAAAGCATCCAGAAAAACATTCAGTTGTGTAATGTATCCATATAGCACTTCTTTTAACCTTTAAGCCTAATTTACAGTATGCTCTTTGTTTGCTGTTTTTTGCTTTTTACGACTTTTTACTTCTTGCCTTTTTGCCTCTTACTCAGTTTCTTCGTTTTCTGTCGTTTGAAATAAAAGTTGACTTCGGAAGAGACAAGAAACACGTAAAAAGAAACGCGATCATCGATAAAACGGTCGCAAAGAAATGAGGTCGTGATAGAAAGCAAGAAATAGGAAACAAAGAATACATTGTAGATTAAGTTTTAGGATATAGAACAGGAAAGCCACTATAGTGAAGTATTATATTTTGAGGCAAAGAATATAATAAAATAATAAATTATAACAAATTTTACTACCGGAAAAACTGTAACATTTTAACTCATTGCCAGTACACACAATAATTTTCTGGATTTTTGCTATACATGGGTCGTTCGTCCCAAGTTAATTTTCAAGTTCATTTTAACAAATATACAAAAATTATTAAGTGATTTTTACATATACTTTAACATCTTTAAAAAAGTTTATTATAAGGTTGCGTATTAAAAAAAAATTATATATAAATATTGTAATTAATTACTTTATATTCCCAGTTAAAAAAAAGAAATGTGCAGAATACGAATAACTCAATCGTATTAAGGATTAAAGACTCCTGTTTTATTGTTAAATCGAAATATAATGCGTGGATAATATAAATACATTGACAAAAATGATGTTTCAACAGTATTATTTTAATTGAAAATAATCTTGTTGATTTACAACAACAGTATTAATGAAACAAAAAAAACAAACAATATATATCTGATAGGGCTCTCGAGAAACAAACCATAATAATAAAATATTAACAAATGAGAGCATTCACAGCGTAGTACTCGGAGCGCAATACATATAATATATTCTCAATACTTTTTACATTACGCGTTACAAAGTTCTTGGACGTTTTCAACGAAACAAATAAAATTTTATTAAAACAAGATCATAAATATTTGTTTCATTAACGGTGTTATTAAATTAACAAACTTATTTTCAATTAAGATAATGCTGTTGATACATAATTTTTTTTAGAGTAATTACATTTAAATTATAATTGATTGTGTTCTTTATTAGTTTGATGTATTTTCGTGAAAGTTCCTGGTCCACCAGGAAATTTCCCGCGGGAAAGTCTCGTTCACGATATCGACAACGTTAAACCGATGATGCGCCGTCGCACTTTGCTCGGTGCGGCTTTGTTTGCGCCCGGCGAATCGTTTTACGATTTGTCTTTGTCAGCTTGGCCGTATTGTTACCGCCCTACCAGCAGGTCAAGGCTCGTAAAAGAACTACAAACATATATCGTTCACAGAGATGCTAAAATGTTCGCTTCATCTCGCGAGAGTCTTCGAAAAAAAGCATCGGCGGGGCACAAAAGTGCTCGTACTTGACGAGTAATGATATGTCAAGGCTGATACACGTCGACACTTTTGCGAAGCACCTCGACACGTAACATCGTTTTTCCGGGTTAATGCAAGATTGCAATATCTATGGCGGCACCACACTAGTTAAATTCTTTAATTTTAAAGTCCATGTCACACACTATACGCATTGGAAACTGAGGATTGAAGATTAGAATTCAACTATATATCGTATGTAGATGACTTGGGACAAGTGTAGGTGACTAGGGAAAGCATGTATTTTTCTTAAATTTAATCATGGAATCCATCCATGAGTCTCTAAAGGAAGTTAAGTTAAGTTTAAGTTTTAAACTTCCTTTAGAGACTCATGGATGGATTCCATGATTGAATTTAACAAAAATACACTTGTCCCAAGTCACCTACATTTACGGTAATTAGAATACACACATAAAACGGATTAAAATTAAGTATCTGATTGGTTGACTTCTAATCTTTAATCAATGTTGCTAGGTCTGTTCGAAAGTTAGTTATCCCTATATTAAAATTAAGTAAATTAAATTTATCTCCATATATTGTGATTTTCTAAATATTTTAGCCATAAAATTTGACTATTTTTTTTTATTTTCCTCCAAAAAAGTTTCTCAAAAATTCTCCTAAAAAAATTCTCCTTTTTGTACTTTCAAAAAATCTCTTAGAGGAAAAACCTCCAAATTTAGGGGAAAATCCCCTAATCTGGCAACACTGTCTCTCTCTCTCTCTCTAATTTGCAATCCTCAGCCTCCAGTGCATAGTGTGACATGGATTTAGGAGGTCCTATCGTGACGAAGTCGAGTTAATTAAAGATTTATTATATTTGTAGTAGATGCGCTCTAATTTAATTTTATTGTTGCAAAGTTTAGTAGAATATTACTTGGAAAGAAGGGAACTACTTACCCCACTGGCTTTCCGTAACAGCACGTTCTGATTTCCTCTTTGGCTAGGTGTCCGAGAATTCAATCTTTCATCTTTAACTGAAACGAGAAAGCGAAAGTTGCGGTTATTATGAATTTCTGTACATATTTTGAATCGGACGGGTATTCTGTAATAATAATTTTCTAATAATTTCAAGCAAAGCCAATTTCTATCTAATAATAATTCCTATTAGTCGTGAATCAACATTGAAAATTTATAACGCAGTAACGCATTTTATAATTAAAAAACTTTAATTTAGCGAAAACACTCTGCAAATAGGTCGCGATATAAAATATGCAAGAGGATGCCAATCTTTTTTGTTGACGTTGCAAATGTTATTTTCATCGTGCATTGAATGAATTCGCTCTATATTTAAACGCCCGCAAGGCACATGGAACGCTGCATTGAACAGCAGCGGGGTTTGCAGATCGAATGGCTTTGTATTATCGACGCGCGTAACATTTCTGTAGTGCGTGAGAAAGTCGCGGGAACCATTTAAATCGTACGTGCCCGGGGCGGCCTAATTTTGCATTTTGAGAGCTCTTTCATGGCAATAGTCTGCAGCTCACGCTCGCGTCAGAACTTTGCCTTTTTTGCACGCAAAAGGATCAAAGGATCAAATGCATTACAAGGGTCGCTGTATCAGCATTAACTCTACCATTATCCGGGGATAAATGAATCACTTACACTTGTCTTGCATTAAAATCTCATCATCGCCTTATAAAAATAAAAATGTAAACGACAGAGCATGTGCAATTATTTAAAAATAGACAATTTATGGAACTCATTTTTGAATCTCATTTCTGTTTGAAGTTCTAAATTTCGAGTTATTTTATCATATAAAATCATCATTTTCCCGTACAATTTGCTCGTTTATTTACATACAAGTAGATTATCATAAATGAAATCATATACGCTTAAGCTGAAAATTTAGTTATGTTGTATAGAAAGTAATTTTAGAATATAACTCCCGCGCACGCATTCGCAGTATACTATAGACAGCGCTTTAATTGCGGTCTGTTACATATAACGTTCGCAATCGCCTTGTTACGGATTTAGTTAGTTTCGAATTTTAATCACTCGGAGTTGTGCATCATCTCTATATTACCTCTAGGACGCTCGTCGTACCAACATCTGGAGCCTCACGGTGACCCGTTTGTTCCGGTTGCAGTTCCTCGGACATGCGGAACTTTCTGTAGTTGGTTCCGGCTTAATTTCATCGCGACGCAACTATATTCATTCGGTCCGGACGACTGAACGAAAAAATGCGAAAAAATCGCCGTGTGTATTATTTTGACGTGATTCCGTCCTTTCATACGCGCAGACGAAAGTCTTTCTCGTAGAGCTTTATTTCCTGATTACGGAGAGAAGTGATAATCCTCATATTTCTGACTTGGGATTATCACGTCTCAGTAATTCTTTCCAGAGTTAATGAATTTCTTATAGATATTTTGTTACAACAGTATTGCTACGTTGTTACGACAGCTTTCTCATAGTTTCCTTTTTGCGATATTGATCATGATTATAAATTATGATTATAAATTATGATCAATATAAGCGTTGCATCGCGCCACACATTCTTGCAACTATATTTTAAACCTTATTAAAATGTTATTCTAGTTGCTTTATATGTATATAAGTTATATAATTATTTATTTATTTGATTCATATATAATGTATGTGTATGCGTTTGTGTGTGTAAAATTTATATCTATGTGCATATGATTCATATCTATAATTCGACGATTCTATACATATAATTCATATTTAAGTATTTAGAATTTTATGTGCTTCGTATATAATGTGAAAAATATTTAAAAAATCTAAAAACACACAATACATATTAAAACATACACATACAAAATAAATGACACATAAAAAAAATTATGAATAAAATTCTGTCTTGAGATCTTTGACGCGAATTATAGAGTCTCTAAAACGCGAATTTTATGATAAGCAGCATGCAAGTAGTAACGACTACTGTCTGGCTACTATCAGTCATTACTACTGATTGCAGAGCGATCGAAGAACGTGCCTTATCTATGTGAGATCTACACAGTACTAATATTACGTCGAAAAATTGCTTTGATAATATATAATATATCTATATTTTATACAACATTTATATGAATTTATCACATCCTCCCTTGAAATTTTTTTAACACGTTTAAAGCATTCTAGCAATAAATCATTATAGCAATAAGTAATACAGCATCGTGCCTGCCGTGACCATTTCACGAGGAAGAGTTGTTACATTCGTGCGTATCTTTTCTTTCCTCCAGGGAAACGTATCTCCTTTTCTCATTCCGGCTCATTAATTTTGCGCCACATGACAACGCGTGGCTTGCTTTTTCGTTCTTGAATAATATCACGCACTCTTCTCCATCGTCGATCGTCCTAGTGCATGGTTACAAAAGAAACCCAGGGACTTTCAACTGTAAAGAATATTATTGGCGATCTGTCGATCGCGGGTGACTGTATTCTGATTCCGTTCTGCCCGAGCCCGACGGCGAGGAAATTGAACATTTTTCCGACACGGTCGTTGCGTATCGTAGTCGTATCGGAATTACGCTCGCTTGCATTTATATGCGTATATATTTCGATTCAAAACCGATTTCTGTCGCGCGTGAATATTTAATACAGAATATTCGTATCGAACTTGTGAGATTGTGCTGTTATTTCCGAAAGCTACAATATTCTTATAGAAAGAAGAAAGCACCATTATAAAATGCTTTCTACTCGTTTCAGAAAGAAGATTGCAAACTCTTCGGACATACAGTACTTCGAAAAAAAATAAAGAGATCTTAATGACTTCCTTTCTTAAAATCAATACTTATTATCGAGATTTGAATAGTTCTATGTTATCTCTACAAATAAATGTTCTATGTTTCCTTCCATTTCAACGACTTGTATATGGCAAAGGTCTACATATATCGATTAAATATAAAGCACTTGTTCATAGCAAACATGACGCATTGTTTAATAAACAGAAGAGAAGTTTCCGAGATTGCTCGTCTCCATACTTGACGTCAAAGTGTTAATAAATGTTCCACTACATTTCCTATAGTGTTTGTTTAGAAAGTATGCTTTTAAATAGAGAAACTAATCTACATTAATAGGTTTATACAACCCAATTATAGCAAACTGTAATAAATCGTATCTCCATTATTGTTTGAATCTTAATAAATTAAATTTAGATTTTCTCAATAAATCTAATAAATTAGTTTTAGAAAATATACTTATTTTTTTTATTTTAATAAGTTCTATATGACCTAAAAGTCTGTAATCCTTTCTCTGAAGCACTTTGTGTAAGAATATGATAGAGCCAAGGTGATACAATTTTAAACATTAAATATAATTCTAAACGAAAGAAAAATTGAATCCAAGGTTCAAGTTTGACAACCTTCTCATTGTGAGAAGGATACTGAAAAGTATCCCAAACAGAAAAAAATTAAACTTGAACGTCGAAAATTGGATTCAATTCTTATTTCGTTCGAACTGCACCATGTTTGAAATTTTGTATACTACTTTACCTTATAATACAATAATAACAAAATAGTAATTGAAATTTTATGATAACACGTGTGTCTAGAACTTTTTACATTCTGAAATTGTCCTAATTTCAACGTTAAGTCTTTGAAATGCTTGTTGGAGGTATAAACATCGGCTGTTTAAATTTCCGGCGCGACATACAATCATGTAGCAAACACGATGTTATTTCAGGGAGAGGCATTGTACACGTTATTCGTATCCCTTCCATGCGGAGGCTTTTCATCGGGTGTATGATCGGTCTCCCGAAATCACTCGACAGAATGTGTGACCTCCCCGCGTTGTACGTGCGCCCCTCTCTCAGATTCAAATTCACCGGGGAAATCATGATGGAAACGAAATAGCGGCGTTAAGTAACTGTGAGAAGATTTTCCGTAAGAGCATCGAGTTATGTTTAGCCCTTCTATTATGCGTCCCACTTTTCTTGCCTTTTTTTCGCCCTGATAGGATTATGCAGACGTCGTCCGCGAGCACATTTTGCTGCCCGTCTTTCTTTTCAATCCTTTTCTATGTGAAAATTCTCTTTCGCTCGAAAAATACGACAAAATTTATTGCCTCAATAAATTATTGCATTAAGATGCATTGTTTGTATACACATACAGTTGTGTTGCTTTTCAAATATCCTACAGATATAGAAGAATGAGGACAGAGGCATGAAGCCAGCATGAAACGCTTTGGGGGCTCGAGATTTTTTATATAGGGTGGGCCATTTTAATCAATACACGCGAATATCTCGAAAAGGAGAAATTTTTTCAAAACATGTTTCAAACAAAAGTTTTATGGTTTCAAGGGGGAAAGAAGACAGTGACCTTGTTTGACCTTGAGAAGATGTCCTTAATGTCAGGTCCATGTTAAATAAAATTTTTTAAACGAAACCCTTCATTTTTTATTGCGTATTCTTGTAGCTTATTTCAAGAGCTTTCCAAAACGTTATAATAAAGTATTTTTTCGTTAAGTACATTTCGAGTTACGAGATTCGAAAGTTACAGTACTGCTGGCATTTACATTATTCAAGTTGTCCGACCGACGACTAAAACCTCTTGAATGTTGTTCAGGATCATGTCTTGGATAACATTTGTCAAGATCAAGACCATTGGAGATTATTCCTCTTATTTTCATTTTTGTACTAAAAATTCATTTTTACGTAAAAATGAAAATAAGAGGAATAATCTCCAATGGCCTTGATCTTGACAAATGTTATCCAAGACATGATCCTGAACAACATTCAAGAGGTTTTAGCCGTCGGTCGGACAACTTGAATAATGTAAATGCCAGCAGTACTGTAATTTTCGAACCTCATAACTCGAAATGTACTTAACGAAAAAATACTTTATTATAACGTTTTGGAAAGCTCTTGAAATAAGCTACAAGAATACGCAATAAAAAATGAAGGGTTTCGTTTAAAAAATTTTATTTAACATGGACCTGACATTAAGGACATTTTTTCAAGGTCAAACAAGGTCATTATCTTCTTTCCCCCTTGAAATCATAAAACTTTTATTTGAAACATTTTTTGAAAAAATTTCTCCTTTTCGGGATATTCGCGTGTATTGATTAAAATGGCTTACCCTGTATATGTTCGAATGGATAAAAAAAAAGTGTTTAAACTCCCTGCGAAGTGCCGACGCATTTTCTGCTCTATCTTTTCCGTTTATATTTTCTCTTTTGCAGAATAACTGCTATCTAATATGCTACATAAAACGGTTAAAAGGTAAGTTAACACTATTAGGAGGAACTAAACGTTGTTAACAAAGATGATAATTAAAAGTTCCAATTAAAAGGAATAATTATAACAGCAAATGTGTTTCGTGTAAGCCGAGAATAGTTCAATTGTCCGCAATGTTAAATTCATGTCACTGTTAAATTCATGTCAAATTACCATATATCCAATTTAGGTTATTTTTAATCATTTTTTAGATTGTCGTTCATACCGTTAATTTAATTGAAACAATGGAGTTAATAATTTATAAGTTGAAGCTTTTACGTTATGGACGATGGTTCAACAAGACAGAGCAAGTTAGAAGGTTTTAATTACAAATTAATCAGATTGTTGAGGAAACTGCGCTTATTAAAATGTTCATAGTTGTTAAGCAGTTGTATCACAAAGTTTGATAAATATCCGACAGTTTTAAATAAGTGGGCAGTTTAATAAATTAGTGATTTTTTAAAAAAAGACCATGGAAATAAGTCGAACTTTAAAAAAATTTTTTAAAAAAGTCACTGACTTATCAAACTGCCTTCGTATTTGACTAATTATGTGATAAAAGTCAAAATGTTTGTTTATTACCCCACTTTTTACCAATTTAGTTGTGATTTTAATTAAGTCTTATATTAATTTTATTTTAAATAATTTAAATCAAGAAAATGTACAGGATTATATTTTAATCAAATTTAATTTATTATTTACTAAGTACACATGTTAACGTGGACGTTATTTACTTTGAAACTAACCACAGAAATGGATTAATTTACATTTTAATATACATGGGGAAATTAAAAATAAATATTATTTATTTAATTTAAAAGATTGAATTATCACATTGCTCCTTTGATATCTAACAGTGAAGCGCAATTTTCGATCAAACGTGCAATTAAGAATTTGTTTGAAGTTATTAGAATAAATAAGCAGCATATTGTCTGTAAAAAATTAAATTGTAGAATTATGCAATTTTTATTAGAGAAAAAGTATATTCCTTTAAAGTACTTAAGAAAATACACACACAGAAAGAAAAGAATTTTATCAGTCAGTACTCTGTTTCACCCGCCAAGTTTTCATTATCCGTCTCATCAAACTGCAAAGGAGGTGAATTTAATTATTCGTTCGTTCTTCATTATCTATTAACGATTCTTTGAAACCCTTGCCTGTCGTCACCGGATATCTTCGTTGCCTCAAGTCGCCGGAAGACAATTAAATTAATCAGGGGAAACAAGGGAATGGTTTGTGCATGATCTGTGATGATTTAACAGAGGCGCTGAATTATTTCATGTATTTAGTCGATTAACTTTGCGCCTAAGCCGATTACATATAGCCTAATTAAGTAAACCTAACTGTATAATAATAAGCGTTGTATATTTACCAGCATCTTAAAAGTGTATAAGGAAATATTTACAGAGTTTTAACTTGTCACAGAGAATATCTTAGGAAGCGTTCCTCGAAAATTCTAAAAAGAATTAAATTAAATAAAAATGCAATGAAAAGAAATCCAATGGGATTAAAAAAAAAGCTAAGTACTTTCTTAAAATATCATCGGCGAAGAATGTCTTCAAGAAAGTTAAATCTAGAATCCGTTTTGTGATATAAATACCACACTCCATTATATGACATGGACATCGATAATTTATGACAGCTGCCTATATTCTCTCTATCGAAAACCCAGACTTTCTTCGACGCGTATGATCCATTCGTGATTTATGTCACTCAACTTCGTTCGGACTGTGTCTATGTGGTTGTAGATTAATCAAACCTCGGGAATTCGCTAGACTATCTCATTCGGTGTAGAATAATTGATTGAGCTCAATATTCCCTAACCGCAAATGAGCCGGAGCGTTCCAACGCACTATTAATAATTAATTAATTACGGTAGTCGAAACCAAGCATTGAGTGGTGCGTTCAAAGGAACGTGCGAAAATTAATGTCGAACAGCCCGGACGATAATTACCGTTCGTCTAGTATTACGACACACAAGACTCAATTTCTGACCAACACAATTATTTTCCATCACTCGATCACAATCAAGTTATTATTTTAAAAAACGCGTATATACATATATTACGCGTATGATCGCTGCGACGTTTTACAGGAAAAGAAATTTATATTTTTTTAAATGTTTATGTTTGAAATTTTTATTGAAGTATCTAAAAATTTAATTAATTTATAAATTACAAAATGAATTGATTGACAATTTTGTTTTGATCGAAATAATTATATTAGGACGCTTAAAACTTTTTGCAGCATTGTTATCAACGTTTGAGCATTATACGTAATCATTTTGATAATCCAATAAAATTATTTTCAAATCTAGTTAAATTTTTAGATGCTGTAGTTATAAAACGGTTCTTTCATGTATATTAGTATTATATAAAATAAGTAAAAGTGTAAATTTCAATATTTATCATTGGCTAGGTCTAATAAATGGAACAAAATACGACAGCAAGGAAGCAGAAATAGAGGAATCAATCTAGCGCGCATATGGTATGCCGTCTGATATAATTAAATCCTGTGACAAAATTTGCTTAAAAATCCGTATGTTATGAAATAATGCAATCTCACCGATTACTCGTAGGTGTTTTCCACCGAGGGTAGAAGCGTCCGTTGTCAGCAGGGATAACGGCGTCGAAGAACTGTCCAGGACTTCGACGCGCGATAAATCGACGCCGCGACGCTCGCAGGCTGGACTCAGCACATCCCTGTAACACAATACAGCGAGTTAAATCATCTTCGTATCTTTCAACGGCGGAAATACTTCACAATATTTTCGTAACAAAGTACAAGTTCTGCCCATTCTGCCCCATCCAAATTCCAAGACATTATAAAACGGTAATCGAACTGCGTATCACAAACGTGATATAAAAACTAACGCTTGCATTATATCAGTTAATTAAAAGTAGAAAATTACACGAATGCATTTTGAAAAATTGCCTCTCTGTTTAAACCGTTATTGCGATTACCGCAGCAATCGTGAAGCTTTTGTTGAGAAACACAAATTTTAATTCTTGTCAAATGCGAATTTTACTTTCTGCTACAATCTGTTCATCCGCGTAATCTCTGAACTTTTGAAAATAAAAGTATATAATTCCATTTTATGTACTTTTCAGTCGGACTCTACGACGATTAAAGAAATCTCTCTTAAAAGACTTAGTGCAAAATTCACAAAGGAATATCCTGTACTTTAAAAGAGTATTTCAACTTTGAGCGGAACGAGATGTAATAAATATATAATAAATATATACTTAATTCTTCCAGAAATAAAATTGATTACACAATATCGTGCACTTATTTTTAAAAAGGATTATATATTCGTCCATATATCATGTAGAATTTGTGAATTTACATGAAAAAAATTTCAAGGAGAGTATATAATTAATTATACGATATTATAAGATTTAAAAAATGTTTAGAGAAAGGTTAAAATATTATAAGATTTAAAGATGTTTAATCAGATGATTTGACGTTATTCAATTAGATTATTATACATTTATTTTATATTTATATTAAATAATTTTTTTTTTATGCAAAAAAGTTATAAATAATTTTTTCTTTTTTAGCATGCGAAGCTAATAATGTTACGATTCTTCTTCAAGTAAACAATTATTGTTCGTATCTTATTATTCGTAGTCATTTTTTTCAAGATTTAATTGTTCGTGCAAGTGTCTTATGCTAGATTGATTTTAATTCATCCCATTACTTCCGAAGACATCAAACATGTTTTTATCCGCAGAAATAACATTTCCGTCATTCCTTTTTCTTAGATCCATATTCTGCTTTAAACTCCATTTTCTCTCTTTGAGCTCGTTTCTATTTGTTGCATTAACGAACAACTTCCTTCTTTTAATATCATGCATTTAGTTTTCGGATGCACTTTCCAGTTCCTTGAATGATTCCAATTTTATAAATAACTCTGCTGCTAGTTTCGAAGCACTTAGTCGATAAGTTACTTTTAACTTTCCGTATCTATTCCGATAGTCAATAATCCCCGGTTTGTTTCAATGAAATATTCTATCTGGCTTCCGCTATTTGGCTTTATTGTAACTTTTAATAATGTTTCATATACCGTGCTTTCGTGTATGTTAAGCGAAACAAATTGCGAAAATGATAAACTTGGTTATTGACGCGACAGACGAATCATAACAATGTACATATATCAACCCCGATGCTTCCTACGAACAGAGTTAGGTAATCAGAGAAGGCGACTAACTAAGTTGCTGCCAAGTCGAGGGATCAGAAATTATTACGTGCATCCTCCGTCTTAAAGGCTAAAACTTGCCATCCTCGTTTTCCATTCACTTCATGCTGCCACCACGAGAACTTTACCAACTTACACGAAATTATTGCCACATGTTTCTTGACGATATAAATCGTTCAAAATTTCACTTTTTGCCACGGGAGTTTGTAAATTCATTACATAATTCCTAAAACAATTAGAAATTACATAATCAACCAGCAACGATGTGAATAAATCAAAACAAATAATCAGACAAACCGTCGATGTAACTAAATTGATTCCCATAGAAATAATTTTTTACGTCTGATGGCAAATCAAATAAACAATCGCGAGTTGAAGATTCACGTGTGCGAGATTTGTTGTTGGAATTAATTGTATTCTCGAATTATTTTTAACGTATTTGACAATTCTAACAAAATATTCATGATTGGTACAATAATATACCGTTGTGAAAAAAAAGCTATAAAATGTTATCAAATATCGTAAACAATCCGTGCATGTACAAAATTACAAATGTATTTCGCGATATTTTGTTTAAGAGAATAATTGAAAGACGCGATGTTGTAATTTTATATTACTGATCGCTCTTCGGTAGCCTAAAGTTTATCCGTCTTTGTTTCCTAGATATCATTCAGTTTTTCCGGCGGCCTATTTCAAAAGGAAAAGGGGTGCCTAATGAAATAATAGTGTAAGGTGGAACAAAGCATCTTCCCTTGAAGAAGGCGTAACGCTGTAGACATTGACAGAGTAGAAATTTCGTCGACGAAATTCGAATAAGAGGAATAAGAAATTAATTTATTCATCCAAGCCCTTTCATTATTCAGCTTTGTTTTCGTATATTTTACACCGTGCCCTTCGTTCTTTAATATTGACTATAATATGTATCAAAACAAAAGCTTTTCTTTGGCGGTCCCGTCTCGAAAGCGCAACTTGTTAACCATTATTCTTGTCAAAATAATTTGCCTGATTTTTTAAAATATATTTTATACGACGTTTTCACGTTTTCAAGCGTGAAATTCTAATTAGTCGTTTAAGTTGTGGATTTTATTGAAGCAGTAAGATGAAAAACTGGATGATGTATGTTGCAATCGCGTCAGGGTTGAGTTAAAAATTTGTAGAATTAAAATTTCGAAGTGTATCGATGCAAGTAAAGTAAACCGATGACGCAATGTCGTGAAATTGAAAGCGGTGCACGTGGCTCGTTTAAAGTACTTAAAAGTCGAATCGTCATTGCGTTTGGAGGTCCGGTTTCCCGACATTTTTTTATTTCACATTTTACAGGCTTTTGTTTCAGCCATATAGAGTGGCACTTGTACTCAAATACCGTTTTTTTTTTAACTTTTAAGCTTTCCACCTTTTGCAATCGAATACTTTTTTTTAAATGAAATGCGATATTAATTCGGTATTTTATGACGTCGAAGTATTGCAAATAAATGAAGTTTACGAATGCTCTAAGTCTTTTAAACTCAATTAATGTTTATTAATGTAATTTTTTATCGTCACCTCATAGGTTTGCAAAGTTAAAGAATCAGTTCAAGATTTTTAAAAAATAATAAGTAATGGAAATAACAATAATAACGATAATTATTTATATAAAACAGATATGTTAAATAATGATATAAAATCAGATTTACATTGTATAAATATAAATAATTATACTATAATACATTAATTTAATTCAGCTGATTTTTCTTTCATTAAAAAGCAAGTAACTATGTTTATTCAATCGAGAGTAGTGATTATCCATAATTATTTCGAATACGCTTGTTTGTGTTATTACGTAATGTCCATCGAGCTTTACTCTCCGTACGAAAATACAATCTTTGTAACGTAAAGTCGTTTTCGATCTTTACTCATTTTTATATTTTCTCCTACAGTTACGACATATATCGTTTGAACAGGACTATCCCTTCACGCTCTATTCATGTTTATTGAACATATCCATTCGCAAATCGCTATAAATTACTGGCGATAGCCACTAGCTATGATATAAACATATGTATGAATATATATGCACACGTTAACATTCTAAATAGCGGTATGTCATTTCAAAGTGAGTGACTCAATGATATTCGTTGTTAATATACATTCCCTGCATGAGATACTTCGAATGAGAAGAAGGAGGGAAAAATAGAAAAAGAAAGACTTCCATGTATTCCATACCTTCTGATTATACCTGTCGTTTGATTTTCTTAGACATCGAATAATTAATTAATGCGACGTTATACATAAATAATTAACATGCGTAATCAACTGAAAGATTTTAATCGAAATAAATTCAGCCTAAGAGAGCAAATACAAAGTTGCCACAAAACTGGAAATCAGGAAAATGTCAGAGAAATTGAAAACGATCACGGGGAAATCAGGGAAGTCAAGGAAGTTTTCAAAATTTTCTGGAAAATTAAAATTCTTGGCTTTAAAAAGGAGTTTAACGCGCGTACATCACATCTCTATACAGTTTTGGAAATTACCAACTTAACAATTAAATGCAAGCAGTGTCAGCAACATTAATAATTTACACATTGCTATATTAAATTACTCCCTTAACAAAATATTTGACGGTTTCAAAACCAAGACGAAAATATAAAAAATTTCAAAATATTATTGAAAGCATCAGGGAAAATCATAAAATTTTGTCTAGAAATTAAAGAAAAGTTATGGAATTTTAGAAATTTGTGACAATTTTGAAATAGAAATGGAGAACAGAAATGATTATCTGATTTGTGAATTATTTCTTTTCATTCTAAGACATATTTCGTATTGAAAGGGTGTCAAATCGAATTCTTTACAACAACGTAAATTGAATTCTTTTTGGACTTTCGCGAGAGACGGTAACGCGCATTTAGTTCTAATGCAAGCCGTAGCTTCGGGAGGTTATTATGAGTAACAAAAGAACGATCCGCGCAATCTGAGAAGGATCTCGTGTTGACGAATAGTATGCTTTTCATGCAAACCGCGTATCGCGTGGTCGCGATCCCAGGACTCGTAAAATAAAAATTTTTTCATGCGCACTCGAGCTTTGTGCAATTCACGACTCGTCGCTTTAACAATGCTTAGCAATTAAGAGTAATCCGGTTGAAAGCGTAAGGCGCTTTCACGCGAGCCACAGCGACAGGTAGCATTGTCTTTCCATGATACAACGCGTTTTTTGATACTTGTCACGCTGAACAAACATATTAATCAAAGGTACGGCAATCGGATGAATTTGATTAAAAACAAGAATAGCGACGATAATGTTCGAATTGTTTGTGAATTTGGCAAATAACAAAAGTTAAGAGGATTAAAAAAAATTGAAAAGTCACGTTTTAATTTTCTGAAAGGAGATTTCTACGTTCGTTATCCATCTAAAGTTCCTAAAAGTTTTTCTATAAATATCCCGCTTGTCATAATAACCGCCTGGACTTAAGCTACTTGATTGCTGAACATTAAGTGGCCGCTCAAATGAGGTGCAGCTTTTCAAAAGTTTGGGACGTTTCTAAAACAGCAGCGTTTTAAAGTGCATCTCGTTCATCTCCTGAGAAATTCTCTGTCAGTAAATTTCGCCCATTAATTTATTACTCACTCTCAAAAAATCGCAGAAAAGTTGGAGAAGTGGCACTTACAAAACTGCGAGACGGATTGCTACGTACGACGTATATATTAAAATGACATCCTTTCCTTACTCCAAAAAGGAATTTGTAATTAATAATCGTGTCCGTCTGCTTTCTCGTTTGTAAAGAAATTTCTTCGCGACTAAACGAGGGTGTTCATTCATATATTCGTGCTGATTAAAACAAACAAAGGACAAGAAGCCTCCTGAATGAATCATCAAGATAAATTGCATATAAAAAATATCATTCTATTGTTAAAAAATATGATTATTCAATTTATTTTCTTTCTTTTAAGTAACGGTTATCTGTAATAAAAAATATTGTTTTGATGATAAACTTAAAATGTATTTATTACAAATTTAAAAAAAATTCATTATTATGTACTCAATTTATTTACTTTTGAAGAAATATTATAAAATTCATTGAAGAAGATTTTATGTAATAACTAAATCGAATTTGTTTTAATTTAATAATGTTAATTAAAATATTAAATTTACTAGGATATTCAGAATAAATATTTTGAATAAATCTGATGATGCTTGTGATGAACTTATGATAGATTTGCGGATATATGAAATACTTGAAGTAATTATTACTTGCGTATAATACACTAAACAAACTTATTAAATCTTTAAATAATATTAAGTAAACATTTATTTACAGTAAATATTTACTCAATAAAAAAATGATAGTTAAATCAAATTAATGTTTTCTGTGTTAAATAAATATATATTTATACATTTAGTAAATATTTGATTAAAACAATTCAAACAAATATTTATTAAAATTTAATATTTTTTTCAGTGCATATATTTTTTGTGTGAATCCGCATTCTTAATTATGAAATAAAGCACTTCCGATGCGTGGCCCTACTTATTATATTTCCCTTGTCCCTTATTATAAACGCACCACGATGAATGCAGCGATAAGCTTTGCCTATTTATTTCCGCCCACAAATCCGCTTTCCCCTCGTCGATGTCATGATAATAAATCGATACACTCTGTAGAACGGACAACTGTAGGGGGGAATAAGGACCGACCTCCTGACGATTTCAAAAATAGAAGTACCTTCTGCCTTCTTTTCTCCTCCTTTTTCTTTAATGGATCGTCCCGGAGGTCGATAAAAGAGGTAGGAGGAGCCATCTCCTTTTTTCGAGAATGAATCTAAAGAAGATTGAATGTAACGCAGTCGGTTGGTATATCTTCAGTCGTCGTTAAACAACATGTGATACATGACGATGGTACTTGGCCTAATGGAATATTCTTTAACGATAGGCATTACGTAGTATATTCCAACCATGTCTCGGCAGACATTAATTAGTGAGAATTAATGGTAAAAAACGCTGAACGTGAAATTAATGCAGATTTTGGAGATTTGCATTCCGGAAAGTATTCTCTCTCGTAAAAAAAACGTCACGTTGCAATGAGAATCGTATCACAGATAATGGAAATAAATTGTAAATATCACTGTGTAATTGACGAATAATACTGTCGTTTTGCCAATCGTATTTCAACAGACGCTGCGAAGCTGAAATTACATTCTCGTAAAAATATGGAGAAATAATAATTATGGAGAGATAATAATTATGAACCACATTATTGATCGCCTAAGTGGAACGAAGATTTTTCGTATTGGGGGAAATTTTAATCTCACGACAACGATGGGGGATGAAAGATGTCGATGTCGGGACGAATATTCTGAAACTGATCCGCCTTAGGATCGACATCATGAGATAACGGAACAATGACGTCGCGAGGGCGGACAGCGAGCATTTTTCGCATCCTCGTCTGCAACGGGGAGGATTTTGTAAGTCGTATGATGTAATGCAGTGGTTATCCGATTGGATAATCGGTCCCGGAACGCGCATATTGCGGTTCCGTTGCGCGTCTATAAATATCGCCATATTGTCATTCGCAACGTGACACGCGTGAAAATTTATCGCCCCCGACGGCGCGCAAAGTATTAAAAGTACGATAAAACTTCACTCACACCAGGTAAGTTCCCCGCGTCGCCGGCAGAAACTCCTCCCGATCGAAGGAAGTCAAGACGTCGTCGCTCACCTCGAAACTGACGCTGAAGTATTCGTTACTGGATACCTGTAAGCAGAATAAAGCACGCCTGTAAGCACAATTAATTTTATCTCTACAGGTGGAGCTAATCTTAATATTCTCGTAATTAGAATCTTGGTTTAAGATAATTCTTGGTCTGGCAAAGATTTCACTTTTTGTCGATGTAGATGAGATTTAAGAGTTTTAAACGAGAAAGTGATAAAAATAAATGCTAAGCTCAGATTGTTTTCATTTCACAGAAAGTTCTTGTACGACAACTTTTATGCAAGTTGTTTGTACTTCATATTACATCTAAAAGAAAATTATTTTCAAACTTGCACAAAATATACGTGATGAAATCTAGTAAATCAATAGAGTTACTGCGATAAGAAAAATACTAAATTTTAATAAATATTTGTTTGAATAGTAGCTGAATACTAACTGAATATTTACTAAATGTAAACATATATATATTTATATTTAGTACAAGAAGCATTAATTTAACTTAACTATCATTTTTTTATTTAGTAAATATTTATTTACCGTAAGTATAAAATGTTAAGTTAGGACTATTCAAATAAATATATGTTAAGTAGATACAATAAATAAAAGAAGGGCAGCGAGCCAATTAATAATTGGCTCGTTGCCCTTCTTTTATTTATT